GGCATGAAAGACATAGGGTGAAAGAACCAAGTATTGATTACAGCATAGCACGAGAAATCTATCTAAGGCGTCTATATTATGGAAATGATAGGGTTTGTAGGGAGCAACTCCGTCTCAATAAACATTGTTTTTCTGTTTTATGTACCAAGTTAAAGGAGTTGGGGATGAAAGATTCAAACCATGTCACGGTTGAAGAAGTAGTTGCAATGTTTCTTTATGTCCTCTCTTTTAATCTGACAAACCGCAAAGTCAGTTTTGATTTCATTAGATCAGGGGATACTGTTAGTCGATACTTCAATATGGTCCTACATGATGTACTAAAACTGGGGAGGCAATATGTGGTGCAACCTACAACAGAAATGGAAGGATTCGAGGATGAAAAATGGGACTGGTTTGAGGTAAATATTATATCTATTTATTGATTATTTTGGAAATTATAGTCTAAAAATTTTAATAATTAATTAATACTTTTATTATGGTAGAACTGTCTTGGAGCAATAGATGGGACCCATGTTGAACTCGTTGTTCCATTGAGAGATCAAGAAAGGTATAGAAATCGGAAAGGCAACATCACAACAAATGTCTTGGCGGTATGTTCTCGTGACCTAAGGTTCACTTATGCTTTACCGGGATGGGAGGGATCTGCAGCTGATAGTAGAGTGTTGCGAGATTCTTTGACTAGAAAAGACCCCTTTATAGTTCCTAAAGGTATGTGGTAATTAGCCAATTCTGTTGCTCAATATATATTTTTTTTGTTTCTTTGTGCATTAGTTTTTTAAGGTGTATAAAGTACTAACAAGAATGTTTCCATTTGATTTTGTAGGCAAATATTTTTTGGTGGATGCGGGTTATACTAATGGTCCTTGTTTTCTTGCGCCTTATAGAGGAACTAGATATCATCTCAATGAATGGTCAGCCCAAGGTAATAATCCACAAACTCCTAAGGAGTTATATAACCTCCGTCATGCAACTGCTAGAAATGTGATTGAGAGAGCTTTTGGTGTGTTGAAAAAACGATGGAAAATTTTGAGAAAAGCGTCTTTTTATGATGTCAAAACAAGCGTGAAGATTATCAATGCTTGTGTTATCCTTCACAATCTTATTCGAGTAGAAGAACCTAATGATCCATTACTGGAAGAAGTTGATCATGAGATTCTTAACCGAGTTAATCCAGATGGTGATGATCAGAATGAGGAAGAACAGAATCAGCCAAACATGCAAGGTGGTGTGAATGTTGAAGACTCTGATCGCATTACACTTGTGCAATCTACACATGAGTGGACTAGATTTAGGGATGCATTAGCTCAAGCTATGTTTATTGATTATCAAAACAGGCTTAGATGAAATGGTCTTGTTAATTTATGTTCAATAAAACTATTAGTTTTAAGTTTTATTGTTTGTATAAGACTTTAACGTTGTGTAGTATTTTAGTTTAAGTGGTAAGAACATTGGTTGGAGTAATATTGTCACCAAATTCTATGTTTGATAAGAATATATAAAATGTTTAGGTGGTTGTTACATTATATATAAAATTGGGTGAATACCGCCCTTTCATTTTATAATCAGTTTAATTTCTTTGGTTCCAAAACAATCACTTGAACTAAATTAATTATTACATATATAACCAATTTTTGTAATTTTTATATTTATGTTAATGTAACAGTGTTGGAACTACCTAAATTGATCATTATAATGAATATATAAATAATTGATAAATTTAAAAAAATAAAAATTTAAAGAGTTTCCTCTTTGTCACCTTGAATATGATAACAAAATATATTATTCTAGAAATGATACTATTTAACATGACAAAAGTTAAAAGTTGAAATAATTTCAAAATAAATTAATTTTTTCTTTTTTTTTAAATTTTTGTAAAAAATAGCAAAAGCCAAAACCAACCCAATTACTAAACTATACGAACAGAGAATTTGGAATCCCAATTGAATTTGTAACCAATTCCATGATTTTGCCGAACGGATAAATTGGCATTGAATTAGAATATTTTAAATGCCAATTGAATCCCAAAATATTCTAATGCCAATTGAATTCCAAAAACATGTAGCCGAACACACCCTTATTGATATCTTAAGTAATTAGATATTACCAAATTATGTTCACCAAAACCCTCGTGAAGTTTGATTTATATACTGAACAGAAAAAGCCCGGGATGGTAATAGAAAAGCCTTACTAAGTAGAACATCTAAGTGGTTGTAATTTCTTGTCCATTTTAATGGCTAAGTGATAAGATATGCACAACTTTGGAGACAGCGGCTCCGGAGGAGTAAGATGTTCAGAACAGTCTAATCTGTCTGGAGGCAAACCAACCGGAGAACCTAATCCAACTGGAATTGCAAAACCTCACTACCGCGGAAAAGATATCCCTCCCTAGCCTACAAACAAAGCCGGCGCCTCATCTACAAGATTCCTTTTTCTTGGGATTTGATCCACTGAAAAACCTTTATAAAGTGCTTGTTTTCTTGTTTGTTGACAGGAAGTTCTTCATCATCACTTTGAGTAGCATGAGCAGCAGGTAGAATAACTTTATGTCCACGTCTAAGTCGTCATCGTGGAGAGAAGTGGCGTGTGTTTCAGAGAATCGTGATATTATGCCGGTAGTTTTCTATCGGAACACATATGTTGATGGTGCAATTTTTTTGATATGTCCTGATAGAGTTGTGCCATATTTTGAAGTGGGAGAGGAGGAATTCAAGTCGTTCCGGATCGAGCATGATGTCCACAATCCTCTGTTCGCACCGCAACAACTTCCTATCATAACAGAAATTGGGGGAAACTCACATTGGCTACCTTAAACAAGAGATACGGTCCTGATGGTATTCTTACCGTTGATCATGCCGTGCAATAACGTTGTGGACACTGACGAACAAGAATGACCAAATCTGGGTAAAAGAGACTATTCAGCTACCTGAGGGATTGGTTTTCGATGTTAAGGGGCTTGCCAGCGTTGGAAACACAAAAACCGGTTATAAGCTGCTAATAATATCAAAGCAAGATTCTAGAATATTGATATCTTGTGATGTGGGAAATCGTTGTAAAAAGTATGAAATTAAGCAACTCAAGTGTGAGGATGGAAGTATGGTAGCTAATCAGGTAATTGCTACGCTCCTTGCAAACGTGATGTTGATGTCATTCATCTCATGGAAAACATTCTTCCTCTGGATAAGATAAGGATTATTCCGTAAGAAATTCAGCGATCATTTGACAATTCACCTTTGAGATAATATCTCATTTAGATGTTCATTGTTTCGGTTTTTTTTTTTTTCCTTTTTCAATAAAAGTGTATTTTAATTTGCTTTTCTGAATAAATGTAGTTGGTTTTGATGACTTTTGTCCAGTCACAACAAGTGAAGTAATTCAAATCATAGTTCCTCCATTCCATGTCCAGGGTCTTGTTTATAATTTAAGAAATTTCAACTTTTCAGGAGGGATTGATTTTGAATCACAAATGTAACACCCACGGCTAAAATGAAGAGTAAAAACACGAAATTAAAGAAAGGCCTCCGATTTGATCTTCTTCTAATCAATGATACTCCATCAGAAATAGTTTCGTGGTCGGACTCGAGTGTAAAAGAACACCGAATTAAGTAATCTCAAACGTGCTCACATTCACATGGCTTCCTGTAGTAGAGTCATGGCATGTCCTAATTAGTAAAATAGATCCAGGTGATGCAGATATGAATCTTTCTTCTAGCCATAGCCTACGCTCTTCGTGTTGAGAAGATTAGATCCAGGAGCACACAGTGAATGTGTTTTCACCTGCGCCAGAAGAGAGAGTTGAGAGAGAAGTGATATTCTTTCGTCGTCGACTTTACTCCCAATAAAATTTTTACCTCACCGACTTTGGTCTTTTTAACAGATTTTTTGAGAAAAATAATCCCACAAAAAAAAAAATTAGAGTCAATGAATGTGGGACTTCCCCCAAAAAACATTTTGAGTCAATGAATGTGGGACCTACCTACTGCAGGAAATAAATAAAATAACCCAAGATTAAAGGATGGATAACAATTTCCGTTAATTTTCTATAAAATCTGTTAAAAACACCAAAGTTAGTGAGGTAAAACTTTATAGGAACTAAATTCCGCGAAGAAATGTTAGTGGTTACTGGATCGAGCTACCCCCATACTGAAGAGAGGCATTTGTCCTTTTAAATTTCATCAAACTTTTATTTTCAACCCTCACAGATTATTTTCATATAATAACGTTTTTGACCTATGCATTTTTCAGGTTTAACATCTAGTTGTTCTACAAATGATTTGGGCCTGCAAATTCACGGTATATTGGCGTGGTTATGGCTTTACTTGAATTGTCACGCTGGCAGCTTTCCTTACTCTTTTTTTTTTTAATTTCTAGGTGGAAAAAAAACCATTTTACCTTAATTTTATTGTGTTATTACGAAGCTTGATTATTCACTCAGTGTCGCTTAAAACAATGCAAGATTTTAAATGAACCATACTCATAGTTTTGTCTCTCTCTCTTTTTTTTTTTTTTTGGGGATTTAAACTTTATTCATAGTCCTAAAGAGACATGATTATGTCTGTTTCGGGAGCTTCTTTGAAGTTGGTTCAACTTGCTTTGACTGAATCCGCTTAATGACTGCCCTTAAAAGTTCTTTTCATTGCTATTCAACTCTAGCTCCTCCCTCGTGAAAAGAATTTGATAGTCATAAGATAAACTAGTTCAGCTAAAAACACCTAAACTCTATGGAGGGGATGTATAATTGCTAAGGCTGCGCGCTAGTAAGTTTTCAAGTTTCCTTTTCTTTTTTCTTTTTTTTTTAATAAAAAAATAGTGAATAAATAACCCACAAGTGTAAATGAGTCGCATGGTAAATATAGAATTTTCCCCTTCTTAAGTACCGAAAAGATTGGCCATAAAAGCAGTAAAGTTCGATTTTTACAAACAAAAATCACTAGGGTTTAGCCGTTTAGGTGATCAAAAGGATCAAGAGAAAAGCAGTACCAACGTTCCAGAGGGCGACGCTAATGGAGACAAGTAAGAATAGAATAGAGAAACCGAATTCTTGTGACCAATCACTGCTTCGATTTCTTCCATCGGAATTGATCTTCGAAGTGCTCCAATGGCTTCCAGCAAAATCCCTAATGAGATTCAAAACCGTGTGTAAATCGTGGCATTACCTGATTCGCGACCTGGATTTCGCCGAAGCCCATTACTTGTTCTCTCAGGCCATCCGGCCGGCTGACTCTTCCCATCTTTTGATATTGGTCACCAACCACAACAATTCCGTAGCAAAGACTATCTTCCCGGCAAAACCAGATGGAGTAATTTCCAATCGGCTACCAATGTACAATTTCGATTTAAACTATGGAGTAAATTGTTCAAACATTGTCAATGGTCTAATCTGTTTGTCCAAAAGCGTTTTCTACAAGCCAAATCACGAAAATCATATCGAACTCCTCAATCTCACGACTAAGGAAAAGTTATCTCTCCCTACGCTTCCGTCTGCATTAACATGTTCCTGTGCAATTCGATGTTTCTTGGGATTTGATCCAATCGATAAGCTATATAAAGTGTTGGTGTTCTTTGGTTTACCCAAAAGGTTTTTCATTATTACTTTGAGTGTAGGCAACCGAGATGCAGACATATCATCGTCATCATGGAGGGGAATCAGGGGTTTTCCTCATATGGATGTTACCAAACTGAAGCATGTATATGCTGATGGAGAAATATTCTGGAATGTGCCCGGAGTAGTCGTGAACTATTTTGGATTCAGGGAGGAAAGATTCAGGTCATTTTGCATTCACGACAAGGTTCCTTGTCCGATCATGACCGAAGTGGAAGGCAAATTTTCTTTTGTTACACTAGAGACGCAATATATTGGTAAAAGGGATGTTTGCAAAATAACATTGTGGAAACTGATGAACAAGGACGGCCTAATCTGGGTTAGCGACACTATTAAGCTACCGGGGGAGCTTCTTTGGCGCAAAAGGCGGATTAGCGTTATTGGCAGTACAAATACAGGTTATAAGCTCCTAATCACATCAAAGTGTGATTCGACATTGGATATGTTGATCTTTTGTGACGTGTTCTGTGAAGTGGGAAAGAAGAAGAAGAATTGCGAAATAAAACAATTGATGTTCGAGGATAGTAACGTAGCCAATCAGCTTTTCAGTACACTACTTTCAAAGGAAGGTGAGATTGATGTCATTCATCACGTGGAAAACATTCTTCCTATGAATATCCGACCAGGCCAGAAGAAGGCAGACTAGCAAAGATGAAGGAAGGTTATGTATTTAAGACATGTTTTATTTGGTTTTTTTATGTTTATTTTCCAATAAACATTACCTTTAATATCCGTGATAATGTCTGTCTATTTTGACATGACTAATGAATTTCTGGTAGTAGATGATACAAAAGAGCAATTCAATTAGCAATATATGGTTGATCTCTAGTTTATACGATGTGTTTTACGATTTTCATGTCTATCAATTTCGGTGGTAATTAATTCGGAATGGCAGTTATTAATTGGAATTTTGACTGTTCCAGAAATTGACAAACATGAAGGCAGGCCGACATGACGAAAACATCTGATTCTTACTTGGATGATTAAACATTTCATTTAGATTTACTATTTATATTGTATACTTTTTTCTTGAAAGAATTTAATGATAGTATTAGCTAGTTTGGTGTTTTTTACTCCTTATCCGTCTAAGAAAATTAATCAACTTTAGCCAATTGATTGATAAGGTTGTTGAAGGCTAAAGTAATTCGCCTGGCACATATGTACTCTGATCAACGAGATTTAATGCTTTCTTCATCATAACATTTTCCTGATGTTTTGGCGGTTTTAAGCTTTCTACAAGTACTGCATGCAAACTGCAAAAGGGTTAATAAAATACAAAATAATAATTCCTTAAAAAAAAAAGCCCTATCATTTATTCTAAGTTTCTAACTGCAGTATCATATGTTGACTTCTTTCAAATTGGTGATAGATCGATGGTCTTGATGTAGTCCAAAATTAGGGTGGTGGCAGTTATATATCATGTGTGGATTGCTAGAAATCAGATTATTCTTGAAGGCAAAAAGATCACAGCAAATCAGATTTGTGCATATACCAAACAAGAGATGAAGTGGACGTTAGCCAAACATGGGACCCAGATGAAATCAAGCGAAAAATGCTTCTTCCAGCAAATAGGGGTGCTAAATATGTATGTACACTTTCTGATTTTGGTTTCTCATCATGTATAGTTTTGTGGATTTTGTATTGGAAATTGGACCAGTTGAAAGGTAGTATAAACTTACCTTCTTACCACAAAAAAAAAAAAAAAAAAAAAAACAACAACAACAACAAAGAAAAACAAAAAAACTATTGTTAAACTAGTCTTTTACGTGTCGCGCGTTGCGCTACCAGTGCACATAAACATTCTTTTGCTCTACTGTTTTATATTAATTTTGGTATAATTCACTTTTTTTTGAATTTTTCTCTTTACGCTTAGTAGTGCCAACGAATGTATTCTTTCATGCCTTTTTAACAGCTAAGAATCTAGCAACTTTGTCATCTCCAATGCGGAATCTTGATCACCCGATCACCCATAACGCAAATATACATCTAAAACATCGCTTAATTCTTCCAGGAAAGTCTGCACAAAAAATCTTAACTTGGTCTTCATTTTCATAAAAATTCTTTCAGGAAAGCGTGCATAAAAAGTGTTAACTTGGTCATCATTTACATAGAATCTACTATGCTCTTTGTAGCATCTGGTAGCTTTTGTTTACATCCGAACATAAATCAAAATTCAGTTAATAATTTTCTAATCGTTATCCTATTTTGGTATAGGGCATAATCACATGTTGATGGTGAGGGGGTTGGGCGGTTGGGAGTGTAAAAATGAAGAGAGGGTAGCTTCGACGGTGAGTGGAGGTCATATTATTTACTGAGTAATCTTAAGAATTAAGTGACATTTGAAATTTGGCTTGATTAAAAAATATCAAGAAATGTCTGAAAGAACTTAAATCCAAAGCTCAGAAATATCAAGAGTTTAGATAAATCCAACATAGCAACACATTTCCTTATATCAATTTAACTGAATAAGGGCAGGTTGGATCAAAGACCATATGTTGCAAGTTCACTTCTTTCCACTCTTCTTTAGCCCCGTGTGTCAAGGGCTCCCTTTAGCCGCTTTAGCTTTGAGCTCTTCAAGCACCAGCTTTAAAGGGAGAAGGGCTCTCACGTTCGGTGGCAGCGTGACCAAAGCACACAAAAGAGGCGCACGCAAGGATAATGTTTTCTTTCCAAAAGTTAGGTGGAGTTCAGGATTGGTTCTTTGGTTTAGTAAGTGGTACTTATTACATGGAGCCACTCTCATGAGCTTTTCTTCGTTCTTCTAACCCAAGAGAAGAAGGGTGAATCCATTGCTATTCATAGAAGCCGATAAAGAACCTTTGTCCTTCCATTGCCAATAGCATCAGTTATGCTCATCTGGGCTTACTACAATCCTCTTGTACAGATCTTTTTTTATCCCTATGACAGCTTATATTCACCTACAAAGAGTAGGCTTCAAAAGCAAGAAGCAGCACCAAGAAAAAGATCACAAGCTTACTTCAATAAATCAAATTTTTGTTCAAAATAAAAAGGACGGAAAATCCCAGATTGGAAAATGCAGTGGAAAATCCAATTCCATCATAGCAGCAAAACAAATCTAACTAATGTACACATAATTTGGGTGCAAAGTAATATACTGGCTAGAAGTAACTGGAGAAGCTAAAAATGCTAAACCAATTACATAATATGGGGTAAATTTTATTGTGAAAATAAAATATCTGTGAAAACAAAGGCCTAAATTTGTATTATTTTCCAGTAAACAAGAACAAAAGCAATTTTAAGAAATACAATAATTACAAGCAAGCAAGAATTATGCCACAACACACACCAGTAGCACATGATTTGGTCCATATCATCCCTACACTCCGTAACATTGGAAAAAAATGATTAAAAGAAAAACTATTGTTTTGAAATGCAGAAAGACAATCAAGCTGACAGTTAAAATGAATCTATTCCCTCGAAAATTGAAAAGTCAGACAAAATCAAGTTCGAACACAGCTATACATGCATAACATCTAACTTAAAAGTTGAAACACCATAAAAGTTGATCCCCAAAACCCAAATCGCCAAATCCAATCTCAAACTGGAACTTACTTCGTCACTAAAATCATGAACTAAAGGCCTCATAAGTTAAACCATCTAGCAAATAATGCACTCAATCCTATAACCTAAACCCCTGAACTCCATCAGAATTTAGCATAAAACATCCATGTTTGAAAAGTATAAGATCTTTTGAAGCTTCATTCCAGATTGAGTGATGATGATAGCACATAAATATTTTTCTAAATATCACAGGAAGGGAAAAAGAACCAGACGAAGAATCTGATGGCTTGAAGATGCTGACTGAGTCTGTTTACTTGATTCCGATGGCACATGTGAACGTAAAAACTGTGAATCTTTTTAAAGCACAAACCACAAAAGGTCCAGGGTGGTGCAAAATGAGATGAATGGATTACATGGTAGGTACAAATGACTTATAACCAGATCTTCGTTCTTAAATCCCACCAATCGGATAAATCCTGCACCATCTTTTCAAACATCACACCATAATCCTGACGATATCACAAGATAATTGGTTCTGTGAGAGAGGATGCAAAATATCGAATTTGAGTAATAGAATTATTATTTACAGCAAAAATTTAGACATAATAAATAAAAGGAAACCAGATAAAGAAAACAATTGAAGTAAAATAAGCATTACAATGTATTATGTTCAGAGAAATGAGAGCGTCATAAAATGGATAAAAATAAAATGGGACAAACGTGAACTATCTACAAACTTAACTCAGTTCATAATCCCTTTGCTGATTAAGTAAAGAAGCAGAAACTATATTCTGAAAAAAAGAATACCTGCAAGCCTTCTCTTTGAGACAGAAAAACTACATCATTGTACCACCTTCACCCAATGGCTGCTTGCACTACCTTCAGTGCCAAAGACCATATCAAGGGCAGAAAATTACAACGAAATCAGAGAATGAGTAGGAAAGTCCAAAAATATGGAAGACACAACATGTATCTAGTAGTCCATCTTGTAATGAGTTGCAGTTTAATGGATTTATAATACATAAAACTACTTGAGTCAGTATTATATATGCAAGTTGAATTCAAATTACTTGCGTCAAAAATTTTTAAATGCCAGAACGGAATAAATTGAGTTAATCCTAATTGAAAACATCTGTTGATGGGATTCAACATAAATAAACAAGAAACTTGAAATGCATGAAGAAAAGAGAAAGTACAACCAGACTTACCTTCAAGCACAGAACCTAAGACAATGTTCTTGCAGACAAACTGAGGGCATGGTCTAGTGATCAAGAACAGCGTATTGCCTTTAACCAAAATTAATTTGAAATGGTATTCAGAGCTAACTCCAGGCGCAAATATGACCTAGCACTATAGTCAGTCCACTCCAAACATAACAACACAAAAGACCCAAATCAATAAACATGTATAGAGTATAAGCATAAGAATAATATACATCTCCTTCTCTGAAGTTGGATCGAATTGAACTGGCCTCGATGATTTCGATTGGTGTTTCCCCGTAATTGGCAACATGCGGCTTCAGTTTTAACTCAAAAAATCATAATTTTAATGGTGTTTATTGTTTTCATTTTCTTCTCCCTCACCGGTTGGCAGGTTTTTTACATAAATTTCACTACTTTAGTTTGTGCAGTGTTCTTTGGACTGAGTAAGATTTAAATCCGGAAGTCCTAAGTACAGTTTTCATCCCAAACATTGCTTCATTATCCACTCAAATATGCAAATTATGATGAATATACATAGGCAAACTATAATACAATAGTCAAAATAAATCAGATTCAATGCCTCTAGAAAAATCAAGGGCAACTTTTTGTAAAGCACCATGTCAGTAAACTCCCTCTGTTGCTTCAATGACTGAATTATCAGCTTTTAAAATTGGGACCACTATTCAGAGCTACAGAAGCTTAATACCTTTAAGAGCAGTTTTACATATAAGAGCAGTTATACATCAAAATCTCTGAAGGCGCAAAGCAATTGACTCCGAATCTCGAGGGTGCTTCTAGATCAAAGATAGGAGCAAGTAGAATCAACTGGGAGACGAATTCAAGAGAAGAGAGTAAAAGAGAGCGGAGAGAAGCATCGACCATCGGCATAAATTCGCAGAGGTTGAGAACAACAGGGGGAGGG